CTCTTACTCTCTGTCACTCTTACTCTGTCACTCTTACTCTCTGTCACTCTTACTCTCTGTCACTCTTACTCTCTGTCACTCTTACTCTCTGTCACTCTTACTCTCTGTCACTCTTACTCTCTGTCACTCTTACACTGTCATTCTTACTCACTCTCAGTCACCCTTACCCATTCATACTCACTCTCTCTCTTACTCTCATACTCTTACTCTCAATTACTCTTACTCTCAATTACTCTTACTCTCAATCACTCTTACTCCCAATCACTCTTACTCCCAATCACTCTTACTCTCAATCACTCTTACTCTCAATCACTCTTACTCTCATTCTTACTCTTACTCACTCTTACTCTCAATCACTCTTATTCTCATTCTTACTCCTACTCCCAATCACTCTTACTCTCAATCACTCTTACTCCCAATCACTCTTACTCTCAATCACTCTTACTCTCAATCACTCTTACTCTCAATCACTCTTACTCTCATTCTTACTCTTACTCACTCTTACTCTCAATCACTCTTATTCTCATTCTTACTCCTACTCCCAATCACTCTTACTCCCAATCACTCTTACTCTCAATCACTCTTACTCCCAATCACTCTTACTCTCAATCACTCTTACTCTCAATCACTTTTACTCTCAATCACTCTTACTCTCAATCATTCTTACTCTCACTAACTCTCAATCACTCTTACTCTCACTCTAACTCTCAATCACTCTTACGCACTATTACTCACTCTTTCTCTCAGTCATCCTTACTCACTCTCATACTCACTCTTACTCTGTCACTCTTACTCTCTGTCACTCTTACTCTCTGTCACTCTTACTCTCTGTCACTCTTACTCTCTGTCACTCTTACTCTCTGTCACTCTTACTCTCTGTCACTCTTACTCTCTATCACTCTTACTCTGTCATTCTTACTCTGTCACTCTTACTCACTCTCAGTCACCCTTACCCATTCATACTCACTCTCTCACTCTTACTCTCATACTCTTACTCTCAATTACTCTTACTCTCAATCACTCTTACTCCCAATCACTCCTACTCCCAATCACTCCTACTCTCAATCACTCCTACTCTCATTCTTACTCTTACTCCCAATCACTCGTACTCTCAATCACTCTTATTCTCATTCTTACTCTTACTCTCACTCTTACTCCCAATCACTCTTACTCCCAATCACTCTTACTCTCAATCACTCTTACTCTCAATCACTCTTACTCTCAATCACTCATACTCTCAATCACTCTTACTCTCATTCTTACTCTTACTCACTCTTACTCTCAATCACTCTTATTCTCATTCTTACTCCTACTCTCACTCTAACTCCTACTCTCAATCACTCTTACTCCCAATCACTCTTACTCCCAATCACTCTTACTCTCAATCACTCTTACTCTCAATCACTCTTACTCTCAATCACTCTTACTCTCACTAACTCTCAATCACTCTTACTCTCACTCTAACTCTCAATCACTCTTACTCATACTCACCCTTACTCTCAATCACTTTACTCTCACTCTTACTCATTCTGTCACCCTTACTCTCACTCTTACTCACTCTGTCACTCTTACTCACTCTCAGTCACTCTTACTTATACTCACACTTACACACTCTCTGGCACTCTCACTCACCTTCAGTCACTCTTACCCACTCTCGCTCACTCTTACTCACTCTAGTTAATAAGAACACGCCAATATAAGACAACAAAACGTTTTCAGATTCTTTCTCACCACTTTCCAGCAACTTTTATAATTTATATAAATTATCTTAGGGAATAATACATAAATTATATATTTAAACATGATATTAGTGTTTAGTGGAATGCATAAGGAGTCAAATTGTGTTAAAAAGAGCGATTTTTAGAAAATTTGGAAAACCACTTTTTTCTGTTCATATTATAACTAAATGGATTTTAAAGGTTTCACTCAGCCAATATATATCATTCACAATTTATTAATGAATTTTACAAAAAAACACCATAAATTTTATATTTAAACATGTAAAAACTATTTGTTTTACATTTGGAAGAAAATAATTGTAGAAAAACTATTTATAATTAAACCTTTGTGTTTGGATTTTTTGAGTAAAAGTTTCTCAAAGGCTCTCCTGCACCATTCTCAATGCAAATCATTCCCACACCTATGGGAAGAGATAGGCGAACGTTGTGTAGATGATTTGTGTTTGCTGGGAATGCTTTAGGTATTTATTATTGCTCTGTTCAGTTTAGCTTTTTGGTGAATTTTGGTGTTTGTCAGGAGGCGGCCTTCTGCACCCCTCCTGTTTACTCTTGGGCAGTGGCCATTTTCGGGAGGTCTGCCGTTGTCCGGGTTTCATGTCCTTGTCGTTTAAGGCGGTGTATAGGGTTTTATTTCGTCGTGTTCCGCCGCGGGTGGAGGGTTTGTTCCCATGTTGGGATTAGGGGGTGGTGTGGGTGGCGTTGGGGGCTCGGTTTCTGGCACCGCAACAGCGGGAATTGTTGTTTCGGTTCTTGCATTTGTCGTAGGCGAAGAATGCGCGGTTGTGCATGCTGGGTTTGCGTGCCTCTGACGCGTGTGTGCACTGTGGCCTCCCTGAGACTCAGTTGCATGTCTTTTCTTTTTGTGAGCGGTTGAGGGGCTTGCTTGATTGGTTTCGGGACGTGTTGGTTGGGGTTTGTGGGCCAGGGTGTCGGGGTGGCCTTTTGAGGTTTTAGTTTTTGTCCTTTCTGCGGCGGTTGTGCCAGGTGCGCAATATGTTATGTCTTCTCGTTGCTGACTATGTGTATTATGTGTGGGTGGGTCGGAGGGAGGGTTATGGGGTTGTTAGGCTTTCAGGATTTTTGAGAGGCCGTTTGTGTTTCACGTGGTGGTGGGTGCAGCGCGCGTTTCCGAGCAAGTTTTGTGGTTGGTTCACGGGTGGGTGTTTGCGTGGGATTGTTTTTGGGTGAGTGGTCGTGGGTCGGGCTTTTGGTTGTGGGTTGGGGGGTGGGGCTTTTTCGTTTTTGTCTTCGGTCCCCGGCCCTCCGGTTGGCCTCCTTGGAGGGGGTTGGGCTGGGTGTGTGAGTGGTTGCTCCTGTGGTTGTGTGTTCGGTATGTTGTGTGGATGTGTGTGGGGGTGTGGGTATGCTTCTTTGCTGGCTCCTGCGTGGGCCGTTGTTTGTGCCCTGTGTGGGTTGGTGCAGCTTTTCTGTTGCTAAATTGATGTTCTTCCTAGTGTGAGTGTTTTTGTGGTGCGTGTGTCTCAGTGTTTTGCTGTTCGCCCCTGGTTCTTTCTTGGGGTTGTCAAGTTGTTGTACCTGGGCCTTGGCCGTAATTTGTTTTATGTTACTTATATGTTTTGTGTGCAGTGTGACTCTGCTTTGTGTTATTTATGAGATTGTGTGCGTCTTGTGTGAGTGCGTGTGTGTTGGTTTATTATGTGAACGTTATTTTGTGTCTTTCTATGTACATGTGTTTGTTGTGTGTCCATTTTTTTTTGTTTAACTTTGTATTCAGCCTCATGTACCAGGAGTTTCTAGGTTCTCGTGATGTTTTGTTTTCTTCTGTACTTGTGATTATTATGTTCTTATTATTATGTTCTTGTTATTATGTTCTTGTCTTGTGTCTTGTGCTATACTTTGTATATTTCTTTTATAAAAATAAAAAAAGTAAAAACTACCAGCAGAATACTCCTCAGGGCTCAAATTGCTAGACCTGCTCCCACACTATCCTGTGTGCTAGTAGATTTACGCAGCCAGTACTCAGTATTTTCAGCACTATTTAACTTATGTACTTTAACGTAAGGTTAACTTGCCTGATTGATTGTTTTTTGTTTTGATTCTTGATCGATGGCTTATTTTGATTAATTTTGTCAGTTTGTTAAGATGATTTTTTTCATAATTAAAGAATTAAAATTTTTCCAGTTTCCTGTATTTTATTCTACATTTATCATACAATGAAGAAGTCACCATAGCTGTTTTTTGTTAATTTGTTTTTACTTTTTGTTTGTTTATATGTTCGTGGCGTTCCATCTGCCCAAATCCACTGCACTTAGTCATTTTACCGTAACATATATTTGGGGACCTGTCCTAGGAGCCTCCTCAGGTATGCTCCTAGACGCTTCATATAAAGTTGTGTAAGTGTACTTGGCTTTATTATAAGTTTGCCTGTGTCTTTTCAGAACTACTATTTTGAGTGATTTTGATGGTGCTTAATACTGTTTACATTCCAGATGTAGCATTATATGACTGTTGGATGACTTTGGATTACGTGGTGTCTTATGGCACGAGTCATACTCATAATTGGTTGTTTAATAATCTTTGCTATGTCCTGTGATTTCCACCATATTCTTCTCCCTACAGGAGAACTTCTCATTACGGCAGATCACCCACTTTGGTACCCCTGGTACTTTGGTCTGTCTCCGGGCTAATACGCCCACGTCTTTACAACCCGAACATAGGAGGACACAGGGGGCCATAGTTCCTCTAGCATTACGGACTACGTTATACGGTTAGGACCCATACAGCAGTTCTCGTCATAAATTAATACTTTCCGCACCCCTACGCATTGGTCAAATATATGGTATTTACACAGGTAGGGAGTTAGCATTTTTTTCCAGAGCACAATGAGTGATAACTCTGTAAGTACTATTTAGTTTTAGTAGGAAGCCTCTTACCTTTGTTCTCGTCAATTAGAGACCAGGTAAGAAATCCCTAAATTTTTTGGACTACATTCGAGACAATTATGTTTCACAATTCCAGTAGGATCCCTCTTGCCCCTGTCCTCATCATATAGAGTACCGGGTACAAGATTCCCTACGTATTCGTTTCATTTTCGATCTAAGTAATCAATTCAATTACTAAAGTTAACTGTTGTAAACTTGACTATAAAGTTTAAATAGGATAGTTTACAGTTTCCATGTCATCCTGTCAGTCTGACATCTCATATTTTGGTACATCAACTGAGGTATTTTCTTTGCACATTATTTTCTATCATTCTATTCACCATGTTTCGTCTAACAGCGTTCAGGCAGAATCCAAACGATGAAGTGGGGCACACTAATTCGTGCCACCAAGGCGGAGATGCTAACTCTTGTAAATGCGTACCACATTACTGCCCCCCATGGAGCCACTAAAACTTATCTCCATAACCTTATACTTGACCACTTATTAGACAATGATAATATTACATCCGAATCTCATGAAGAGCGCCTTAGCAGCCATGAAATTGAAGATAGAGCTTTCCACTCTAGAACGCGAACGTCAGAAGAAAACTCTCAAGATACAGAAGGAACAACTTGCTCTACAAAAAAAAAACAAGCTGAACTGCAACGTGAACGTGAGAAGGAACAACTAGAGTTCCAACGTGAACGTGAGAGGGAACAGCTTGAACTCCAACGTGAGCGTGAACAGGAAGCCCTTAAAGTAAGAGAAAGAGAACGTAAACTCCAACGTGAACATGCTGAAAAACAAGCCGCCATTGCTCTACAAAACCGTAGAAAAGAGCTTGACTTGGAAACTACACACCACACTCAGCGCAAGGAAGCGGAAGCTAACCTCCAGGTTCGTTTCGATCTTTCTTATGCAATTAAGTTGATGCCATCTTTTGTCGAGACAGAAAATTATATATTATTTACTTCATTTGAGGCTCTAGCTAACCAACTCAGCTGGCCTCAGGATCAGTGGTCTGTACTTCTCAGGTGTCATTTGACATGTAGGGGCTGCCATGACTCTCAGTACTATGGCGTCTGAAACCGACTACAAGGTATTGAAACAGGCAGTGCTAGATGCCTACCTCCTATTTATCGAGAACTACAGACGTAAGTTTAGGAATTACCTTAAAGCGAGTGCTACTACTTACCTAGAGTTTGCAAATAACAAAAAGAGATATTTCATGAAGTGGCTGGAAGCAGCACAAGTCTCCACCTTTACAGATCTCATCAACCTCATCCTGATGGAAGAATTCCTTAGGCGTGTACCTAATTCCACACGTCCTACCTAGCAGACAAGGAAGGAACCGACCCTACTAGATGTGCACAGTTGGCTGACTCCTACAGTCTCATTCATAGAGTACCATCCGACACACCTTCTAGTAAGACGTCTTGGTTTACTCCAGCCAAAGTGAGTACCAGTAATGAAAACTCTGCGTTGTATTGTCATTATTGCAGAACCTATAGACATACAATAGAAGAGTGTACCAGTCCTCACTGTAAAGTCAGCAGTAAGACAAAGCCCAAATCACCTCCTCCTAAAATTCCAAATTCATAGAAGTCCTAAGTCTTTGGTGAATATTTTTGTTTCATCCACTGATCTTTCTCTCTTCAACAGACACCTTGTTGCGAATCTGTGTTTCATTCTAACATTCATCATGATAAATATGTATGTCCATTATTTCTTTTCCCCGTTAAGTAAATATAACATGATATCCAGTTGTGTTCCAGTATAATTATGTTTGATGTAATTGTAGCATGCTGTAGTGTGCCTGTATTGAATATTTTGTTAGGCTATTTGCAGGTTTATTCCTGTGGGGGGAGTCGGTGGCGTCTCATTGGGGGGATGACCATATTTGGGATGTTCCAGTGTGCGGGCCGTGTATCAAGCTAGCGTCAATGTTTCACCTTTGGAATTATTCCTGTTTATTGATTGTACTTAATTTCTTTTTACACCTTAGCAGTGTTATATACACATAAGTTTACTTATAATTATGTTCTAAATTTGTTAGCTTTGTTCTTAATTTGTTAGCTTAATTTCTCTTTGTTAGCTGAGTATCATGAGGTTTCATGTGGGTTTTAGTTTGGTCTTTTTTGGTAGACACAATGCCGCGAATGCTGGATGAACGCTAGTCCCGTTGGTAGAGCTGGCAGGTGGAGACATGTGTTTACTAGTTGTGTTTTTACGGGGGTTGAGCTTTGCTCTTTCGGCCCGCCTCTCAACTGTCAATCAACTGTTTACTAACTACTTTTTTTTTTTTTTTTTTTTTTTTTTTTTTTTTTTTTTTCCCCACACCACACACACACACACACCCCAGGAAGCAGCCCGTGACAGCTGACTAACTCCCAGGTACCTATTTACTGCTAGGTAACAGGGGCATTCAGGGTGAAAGAAACTTTGGCCCATTTGTTTCTGCCTCGTGCGGGAATCGAACCCGCGCCACAGAATTACGAATCCTGCGCGCTATCCACCAGGCTACGAGGCCCCTGTGGTCAACATGTGTTGAGCTAAGTCTGTGGTATTTGTTTATTGTTTAGTAACATAGCTAATTTCCTGGTTAGACCATTATGTGCAAACCCATCTATTCATTTATGTTGTAAAGAAATGACCGGTGCTTATATAAGGATATTGTAATATTAATTACTAGTGTATTAATATTTCTGGCTACCTGCATTTTCCATTTATGTTATTTGTATGTTCTTTGTTACTCTTACTTTAAGTATATTGCTTTGTTACGTAAGCAGTTTGTTTTTACCCCTAGACACTTATTGAGGCAAGGCTGTATTATTACATATGTTTAACAACAGCAACAGAGGAACCATACCCAGAGGTCTAGGGTCGTAACACACCTGTACTCCGGAACTCTCTGCCAGCGGTGGAGATTCGGAGGGAAGGTTGAAAGTGAATATATTGAGGAACACAGTTGCTTTACAATCTATTCTTCTGAAGTCAACTGAACCCAACGTCACCTACACCCGAGATACTGTCCTCATTACGGATCGCACTGCAACTGCCCCTTATCTACTTGCCAGAGTCCGCCTGGATTGTCCGTTAATATAAGGTAAAGTCCAAATCGCCATCCGGGAAAAGCCTTTTCCCATGTCAGTTCAATTCCTCTTGGGCAACGACTTGGCAGAAGACCAATGACCTACAAATCTAATCATCAAAGAAAACCCCCAGGTATGTGACTCATCAATGGAAAATCCTATCTTGCAGTTTGTTAAAGAAGAGATACAAGAAACAGATGATTCTGATGAAGTCTCCCTGTTACGGACCCGAGCCCAGCGTCCGAGCACGGAGGAGTGACGACCACGCCATCTGTGGGTCAGCTCCCGAAACCCCCTCCAAATGGACGGAGCCATCAAGCGAGGACAGGAAATACCAGCCACAAGGGCTAGTTTCCCGTCCTGATCAGCTCATAACACAGCCGCTGCTGACCTCTGGTGAGGTGGCGCTCAGACAGCAACGCCATCTATGGAGTGGATAGGTGGGCGTTTGGGTCTGAGTCGGTAAGTGACGTGCCCTAGAGTGTCCCTAGTACTGATGACGTGTCTGATTACAGAGTCGACCAGGGACTGCTGTAATGGAAGTTGGATCAGTCTACCCAAGGCAGCCGTCTTGTCTCCAAGTATTTGCTGCAGCAGCTGTGAGTCACCCCCCCCCCCCCCCCCCGGATGAACACTGAGGTGTTAGCCTGCCTGTGACGTGGCAGCTGAGGGATTGTCGTACCCGGGACTGACTGGTGGAGACGCTTAACCACTGGGGTGTTGTAGTGAGGAGAGTGACCTGTGGGATCACACGAGGCTCCTGACTAGGGCTCGCTACCCTAGTATCGGTCGTGGAGTGGCCTAACCAGCGTTGCTGATTGGAACCTGCCAGCTACAGGCTGGATTTGTGGTTGAAGGCCTCCACAACGGTGCCCCCAGTGGAACTGTGATTTGGCTGGCCTGTGGCCAGGGTAGACTCAAGAGAATCGAAGGATTCATCATAAGGCCACAAGAGGACTAAGAGCTTAGCCTTGTTGAGCACCGTGAACGTCCATAGTCTTCAGAAGAAGACTACGTTGTGTATAATAGTGTTTAACCCCCCCCCCCTTGTGTAACCTTTTATATATTATTTATGGTGACGGTAATAATTATATTATTAAGTTTTTGCCTTTATTTCCCTTCCCCTTTAATTTACTTGCGTTACGGATCACATCCCTTGAAAGCCACTACTAGCTTGGGGCCGGATACCCTACCTCTAGCAACATCAGAGAAAGAACCCGGTTGCGACCCGAGAGGGCGGTAACACTCCCATCCTGTCCTGGTGACGACACGTGCACAATCCGTACTCCCGCAACCAGCTGCTCTACCTGCTTCAGCTGTACCTCAAGATTCACGGAGCCTCCCACCGAGTCTCACCATGCTGGAGTTCCGTAAGTTGCCGAGAGAGGATTTCTCGCTAACATCTTTATTCTTACAGGCTGAGACACAACCTAACTCTATCCCTGGGTTCTTTGTGGTGAATAAAGTGCTCTACCGCTATTATATACCCGGCAAAGTGAAGGAGGACAACAATCGGGATAATGTCAAACAACTAGTAGTTCCCACTAGCCTACGGTCAGATATCTTGCATCTGGTTCACAGATCTCTCTCACACTGCAGTTTCTACAAGACCTACAAGACCCTGAAACAAGATTACTACTGGCCAGGAATGATTCGTGATATGAAATACTTAGTGAAAAATTGCAAAAAGTCTCAGATGACAGGTAAGCCGAACGCTCCTCTATTCAAGGCACCACTAATGCAGGTATCAGAGTCTTCTTAGCCGTTCAGCCATTCCATCAACAACCATGACGAGCTTCTGTCTCAGACAAGCTCAGGTAACGTACATATAAGTAATATCCCGTGTTCTACCACCAGGTTTTCCACAGCTGTTTCCGTCCAGGAACTGTGAAGCACCTCAGGAAGCAGTGCGGACATGCCAGTGACGAATTTGGGTATATTACCCCAGGGCTAATAAACTTGTGATCTCAAGTTACACGTGGGTGCCCAGCCAGGAAAGTCGTTGGTGTCTTCCCAGTTTTTGGAGTTTTCTGTCAAGAGGAATTGACCCTTATGGTCAAGCCTGATCCGGATTGGTTAAAGACATGTAGGCCTGGGGAGGCGGGGCCTCACAGGGTAGTGCCTGCCAATGCCATTGACCCGGTTTCTAGAGCACCTAGTCATGGTAAAATCCATTGGCCATAGGCTTGGGATAGGCGGAGTTAATGTGGGCCTAGGAACTAGGGGGTGGATCCTGTCCCACTGGTGAGAAAGAAGTGTTAGTGTGTCTGGGGACCTCGGCTGAGGTACATACAGGTCAACTGACCTGTGGGCAGCCAATCAACATCCTTTGGCAAGCTGCAGTATTTAAGGTATAGTGCACTTGAGTTGTAACCCTGGTATTACAGGCTGTGCCTCATAGGAGATTTTAAATTTTTATTAGAGTAGGCTATGTTTCAATTTTGATTTAAATATACTCGTTCCGATAAATAAATAAATATTAACGTAATTTTTGTTTAGTTATCTGTTCCCTTTGATTAATGACTGCGTTATTCATTCTTGTGATTCTCATTTGCTGTGCTAGAAATTCCCCTGTGTTCTCCATCTTATGAATAGTAAAGTCGCTCTAGAATCTCCCGTTCAGTTCTGTAAGACTACAGGTTTAATCCATTAAGAGTCATTTACTTTGAGTTCCCTGATTATTGAGTCCCTTCCTTCCTAGGGTCTCAATAATTTTAGACACATTCATTTATGTTTATAAGGTTGTGGCAGTGTTTAATGTTTTTATTTTATAATTACTAATAAATTAATAACCCCTATCCTTGTTATGCCCTCCTCATTTAATATTCAGTTTATATTCGTGGCTGTCCAGTGAGGGGTCATAATGGACTGTAACAGAGTTAAGCTGGGGTATTGAGCGAAGAGAGAGCCGTTCACAGAGTACAGAGAAGGGTTACCATTGAAAGGTTCAGGGTGATAACAAAAGGGACATTGAGGGTTTATTACAGAACGAAGTGTGCACCCTCGTGTGGGGCCCGATGGGCGGCCTCCGCCCGCTATTCCGGTATCTCCTGCTTCCTCGGCGGCGATGTCCCGGCCTTCCGTGTTGGGTCGGTGGCGCCCGCTTCCGCCGGATGTGGTAATCCCCGAACACATGGAGTACCCGCGAGTTCGTGAGGGCCGTGCCCCTACGGAACTGGAGTATTTGGTATGGGAAGCTTATTAGCAGCGGTATCCGCTGTATACATACCCTGAGAAATATCCTCCTGTTTGACTTTTGTGTGTTCTGTGTAATTAGCTTTGTGGTTGGGGGTGGGTTTATACTTGCAGCTTTGTGTGTCTTATGTGTGGCTGGTTGTGTTATTGTGCTGCTGTAGTGGTGTGTTTCGTGTGGTGATCGTTTATTTTATGTACTTGTATCCTTACGGCCTTTTGGTCGTTTGAATGTATTTGGGCTTTGTTTTTCTGTATTTTCAGTTCCCTGTGTGGTTCTGTTTTTTGTTATTAATGCCTTGTGTTTCTTGCCTTGGGTATGTGTCATGTATTGCTTTTAGCTTTGTCTATAGTTTCTATTATGTACTTGTGTCCGTACAGCCTTTTGGTCGTTGGCATGGTTTTTGTGCATTTTGTTTTTCTGTCTTTTCAGTTCCCTGTGTGGTTCTTTTTTTGTTATTATTGCCTTGTGTTTCTTGCCTTAAGTGTGTGTGTGTAATTATTTTTTTGTCCTTGAAATTGCTTTATTCTTTGTATGTAATTTATGCTCTTTATGTTCTTATGTGTAGTTTTTGGATTTCCTGGTCATTTGTTGTAACTTTTGTGTATTTTTTCTTGTACATTTTTGTTAGTGTACTTATGTCATTTATTTGTTGTGTATTGTATGCATTTTATGTCCCATGCTGTTTGTGGGTTTCTTTGCTTGTGTCCTCTGTGCTTTCCTGTGACCTCTTGTTTGTATTTTAATGTGTGTTTTTCTGGTGTTTGCTTTATTTCATGTATTAGCACGATTGTTTGTATCTATCTGTTATTTCGTACTTGTTCCCTGTTTTTGTACTTTGTTTTTTTATCTATGAATAAAAAAAAAAACTTCAACTCAACATTCTACTGCAGTCGAACAAGCAATAGGACCAGGCTTTGGGTAGAGGGGGAGTTGTCACAAGGTTCTCCCTAGAGAAGAAGATTGAGCCTGTTCCATCATCACTTGTTCTACCACCACGTCTGCATATTCAAGAATTTATAGCAAGAGCAAGAACTAGTGCTCAGACGTCTACTCCACCCTACTCTCCAATACCCGTGACCCCCAACACACCTGGTTGTGGCCAGCTCACACCACTGACCGGGAACAAGCACTCTGCTAGTTTGTCTGAGCCGGCTCCCAGTTATCGTCACACCAGCGCCACCTACATTGGTCCAGTCCCATATAAATAGACGCCGACCACCACCACCAGCAGAATACTCCTCAGAGCTCAAATTGCTAGACTTGCTCCCACACTTTCCTGAGTGCTGGTAGATTTACGCAGCCAGTACTCAGTATTTTCAGCACCATTTATTTTAAGTACTTTAATGTAAGGTTAACTTGCCTGATTGAGTGTTTTCTATTTTGATTTTTGATTGTTGGCTTATTTTCATTAATTTTGTCAGTTTGTTAAGATGAATTTTTTCGTAATTAAAGTAATTAAATTTTTCCAGTTTCCTGTATTTTATCCTACATTTACCACACCGTGAAGAAGTCACCATAGCAGTTTTATTTTAATTTGTTTCCTTTTTTTCGTTTTTATGTTCGTGGCATTCCATCTGCCCTAATCCACTGCACTTAGTCATTTTACCGTATCACTGTGTAAAGATTTTCTTAAGTATTTCTTCACAGTGTCTTCCATGCACTCGTAAAATCCTCCTTGCCACGGTGCTGTAAGAGTTATAAATTTCCATTGGCCGTGAGGGGGGGTCTTAGTGGGCGGCTGCCGGAGTGTGATGCTCCTTGGGGCAGTCTTCTGTCCTTTTCTAGCCTTGTGCTCCTGCTGCCGTCCTCTCCAATTCTGCTGGGCACCTTTTTCTTTTCCTTCTGTTTCGTTTTTCTTCCCCCTCTTCTCCTATCTGCTTGTCGTTTCCTGCCGACCGTTTGCTTGTTTTGGATCTTTCTTTGGACTTCTTCTATTTTGACGCCCGGGTGCTTGAGGAGGCATACTCTTGCACCTGTAGAACTGTTGTACCCGACGTCTCGAGCGAGGGAAACCTTTTATTGTCAATCCCCGCTTTCGTCGCTGAACCCAATCTCGACGGACTGACGGTTCTTAAGGTGGCGTTTGTGGGGCGTATACTCACGACGCACTCCTAGGGGGCCCTGGCATGATCGGCGATAGCTTCCTGTTGGGTGTCCTGCCTCTAATTGTGGCTCCATGGTGGGTATGGGGCACATTCGTGGATGAATTTCTTTCTCTTCGTCTCTATGTCGATAAATGTTTCCGTTGAACCCTCTCAGGCTCGTGGGGTGGGCGACCAAGCCCCCGAGTCGGCCTGTATTGGAAGACCAGGCTCTGTAGCTCCTGCTGCGTTGGGCCCCGACCTTGCTCCTCCTTTGACCGTCCTGACTTCTTCCCCCAGCTCCCCTCCCTCCTTTGTGGTTGGGTCGAGCCTCCAGCCCCCAGTGGTGACCACTTCGTCCCCTGGTGCGGCTAAGTCTCTCGTTGTGACTACTTCGTCTTTTAACCCCTCTCTCTCTGGGGGTTCTCAACGCCGTTCGCGCCCCGGCCGCACTCGCTCGATTCCTTCCAACACTGCCGCGTATCAGGCCTTGTTTGGTCCCGCTACATGGGCCAAATACTTTGATCTCCTCCCTCTTGATTCTGCGCCTCCTGACGATTTCTCCCTCCATCGGCATCTTGTTGATTCCGTGGATGCGTCTGTTACCTTTAACCCCACTCGTCTCGGTACACGTGTCATTGCTGCTCCTTCTCAGGATGCAGCTTCCCGCTTGGCAGCCTTATCTTGCCTTGGCGAGATCCCTGTTCGAGTCTCCAAGAACGTTCAGATGAATGCCAGTGTTGGCACTATTCTCCTCCGGCCCCATGTTGCAACCGGTGTTCGGAATCTGCAGGATTGCCACGATGATATTCGGCATATCCTTGATGCCCAAGGTCATTCTGTCCTCCAGGTTGACTCGTTTACTCGTCCCCCTCGTGGTCGTCGCCGTCAACCCCTTCGTGTTGTGAAGATCACCTTTGATGGTAGGACCCCTCCATCCTCTGTCATTCTTGCTGGTGCCAGGTGCTCTGTCCAGGAGTATATCCCTTCTCCTCGGCTTTGTAATAAGTGCTGGAGGTATGGGCATGGTGCCCTCCGCTGCTCTGGGACTGTCTCTCTCTGTCCTTTGTGTGGGGGTGAAGGTCACTCTAAGTCGGAGTGCACTTTTCCCCAAGCTCGTTGCCTCAACTGCGGTGAGGCCCATCCTACCTTCTCCCGTGCCTGTATCCATTACAAGCTTGAGGCGGCCGTCCTCAACTTGAAGCACTGGGAGCGTTTATCTTTTCCTGAGGCGAGGCGCCAGGTTCGCCGGCTCCCGCCTTATGCTAACGTCTCTTATGCTCGCGTGTTGCGCTCTTCCTCTCCTCGTCCTTCCCACCTTCCTCAGACTCACAACCGTTTCCGGGCCTTGGACCCTGATACGCCCACTGCCCCCTCCTCTGTTCCTTTGAGTTCTGTCCTGAAGGGTCCCCCTCCTGGTCCTCTGTCTGGGGTTCCCCTTCTTTCTACCCGGTCTGTCATGTCTCTTGTGTCTTCTTCCTCGTCTCCCTCCGATCCTCCTTCCCATCCTCTTCCTCCATCTACTGGCTCTCCCCGCCGCCTGTCGGTGCAGGCGGATGTCCATCGCTCTCCTAACGGCCGTCGTGTGTGCTCTCGTTCAGCTTCTTCTGTTGAGACACTGGAATCCGTTGCCGGGTACGTAGTTGCTGGGACACCTGTCTCTTTAAGTCAGAAGCGTAAGCCTGGCTCCTCTCCTTCCTCCTCCCCGGCGGGTAAGAAGGCTTCGCTTTCTTCCTTGGCCCCTACTTCTGGCTCTGTTGCTCCTTCCCCTCCCATTTCTGTGCTTGCACCCCCTGTTCCTGCTATGAAGGTTTCTTTGGCCCCTGCTTCCCTTTGGGTTGCTGCTCTTGCTGAGGTGCGCTCCCTCTTTCTACTCCCCCTCTTCCTGCTGCTGTCCTTGACTGCTCCTCTTCGTTGTCTCCTCCTCTTCCTCCTCCTCCGGACCCCGCCCGCCCACCTCTGGTCTGTTCTCCCGCTTCCTTCCCTCCGTCTTTGCTCAGTTTACCCATGCCCCCAAACCCTGACTTTGCTGACCCTGATCCCGACCCTGATATTCTTTAACGTGATGTGTTGCTCTTTCGCCTTTGTTTCTTCCATGTTCTCTGTTGTCCTTTCCCTTCTCGTCGATGTCTATTCTTCAATGGAACGCTCGAGGTTATTACGCCAATTTCCTCGAACTCCAACTTCTGATTTTGCGGTTTTCGCCCCTTTGTGTCTGTCTCCAGGAGCCGATGCTTGGTGCTCGTCCTGGTCGTTTTCGTGGCTATTCCTTTCTCTCCTCCCCCCCCCCCAAGCCCCTGCTGGGGGTCCTAATTCTTCTGCTCTCTTGATCCGCGCTGAAGTTCCCTTTGTTCCTTTACTTTTTCCTTTGCCTCTCCATTGTTCTGCTGCTCGTATCTTTGTGGGGAAATGGTACACAGTTTGTTCCATTTATCTCCCCCCGAGTGTCCCGCTTTCTCTTCCTGACTTGAAACACCTCTCGGACTCCTTGCCGGAGCCTGTGCTCCTGCTGGGTGACTTCAATTGTCGTCATTCTCTTTGGGGTGATGTTCTGATGAATACCCGGGGTCGCCTTCTTGAGCCGTTTCTCCTCTCTTCTTCCCTGTCTCTTCTGAATTCTGGCGAGCCCACTCATTTGGACTCTCGGACTCGCACCATTTCCTGTCTTGATCTTTCTCTCTGCTCTTCTCTTTACTTAGATTTCACGTGGCAGGTTCCTGATGACCTCCATGGCAGTGATCATTTCCCTATCCTTGTTTCCTTTTTCTCGTTTCCCCCTTCCCTCTCTTTTCCTAGGTGGCAGTTTGCTAAAGCGGACTGGAACCTATTTACCCTCAGTGCTGCTCTCTCTGACCTCTCCCTTCTGCCTCTCCCTCGCGCTCTCCTCCTTTTTCATGACACTGTCTTCACCGCTGCCCTCCGCTCTAT